TTGTGTAAATCCCTTTACAGGGTTTGCTTCTTTATTGAACCATGTTTTGGATTTGTTTGATGTTTTTCTCTTGAGATAAATAGTAGCCAGTTTCTTCATTTATCTCTCCACTTCCATGTATACAGCAAACCCTGTGATTTAAGCTTGGAGTTGAATTTGGCTTCTCAGTCTTTGAGAAATCTACAGTTGAAATTCCAGCATATGTATCATTTGGTTTGCTATGGAAGGTTAATTTTGTCAATTATGATTGAGACTACTTGGTTTATCCTCTGAAATATGTTGAGAAGCAAATCCCTTAGAAATTGATTACTTCAAATTTGCATCTGTTTAGAGTAACCCTTAAATTATCAATCTTAGTGTTAAGCATAATTGGTACTTCAGTAAAACCCACTCACTTCCTTTATGGTTGAAAACATTCTTAAATATGTATATATATCGTATATTATATTCTACTATTTTCAAAATAAACATATTGCTTTTTCAAATACAGTATTGTATCCGATACATATTTCGTATCCATGCATCATAGAATATAGCATACAGTTGAGTGATCAAGTTGTAGTGCTCGTGTGTACACAGGCAAGGAGTGGAGGAAAAGGCAAATTAGAAAGATAACAGACCAAGTTTTTGATCAAATACAGAATGAAGTGCGACCTGATAATTTGAGTTTTGTAGATCTCTATATTGCTATTTTACTTGTGTACAAGTAAGAAGCCTGTGTTTGATATTTTGGTGGCGTTGATAATATGCTTCTGAAATGCTGAATAAATTTTGAATAGTTCTTCTAAAATGAGATGCTTTTACATTATAGTGGTATCAACAAGTATATTCCTGGTTCCCATTGTGATCCTCCTTCAAAAGACAGAGTCAGACAAGCCATTAAGGTACTTTATTTTTTCATAATGGGATCAAACTTAGTATTCTATTTACTTATAAATATGCAATTTTTACACTGGAAATAAATCTATACAAGGTGCTTTCTGTTCTAACCTTGTAATACACTGTACACATTTCTTTATCTTTTCAATAATCCGTTACCTATTCATTTGTTTCAACTTAATAACAATGGAGGGTTTGAATCTGAGAAGCAACCCTGCTTCATCTATTAACTTGTCTATGGTAGAGTTGTGGGTTCATTTGACAGATAATTGTGTCATATGTGTTTTAATTGTGTATTTGGTGAAATCAACAATTAGAAGAGTGTGATGATTCACATTCTGAGAGGAGGAGAATGTACCTAACTATTTTGGTTTGAAAAACCTTGAAAGTTCAGGATTAAATATGTTTTTAGTCTACTTTGAATGTGAAATTAGAATTCGTTTTTATTCCAAATTTTGATATATTTTGGTTTCTAAACTTTAAAAATGAATGAATATAGTCCTTTTAACCTAATGGTTTTGATCCTTTTGAATTTCTTAAACTGTGTTCCAAGCTAATATTTGAGCTAAAATGTATCAAAATAATATAAACAACTCAAACGTTATCCTAAAACGTGTTTGACACATTAACACAATTAGATTAGGAGGACTACATTTATTTAATTTTTTAGAGCTCAAAATATATCAAAGTTTGGGATATAAACGAATTTCAATTTCGTATCCAAGTTTAAGGACAAAAAACATATTTAATCTTAAGGTTATATATTCAAACATCATTGTATTTGTGCTTATAAAATTGTTATAAAATTGTGTTGGAGTGGTGTTAAAGTTATTTTAGACACAAAAAGATGTCTTTTGAATTGGACATTTCACCTATATATATGTCGTATTGGTGTCCTATACGTTCGGAGTTTCATTTCCTAACATAATGTACTTTCCATTAGAGCTTTACTGTACTTTCAACAAGCTAGTTGTTGTAATTTATATACAAGGCTTTATCATGCTTTTCAATCAGAATAGCCATGGAACATTTTTATCATGAGAGTTTTCAGTTTTCAAAGAATCATCTTTCTCTTCATGCTTAACCAGTGGAGTCATTTGATAGTTGTAGATTTCATCAGCTTTCTGAAATGAGTTAAATGTACAACTTTGTTCAGACCAACATAACTAGTCAATAATTGCATAACTACATCAAATTTTGGTGTATGGAATTTAGAATGATTCATGAAATAATATGCAGAACTGTGATGAGAACAAGGATGGGCAAATTAGTCGTGATGAATTTTTCGGTTTCATCCAGCAAATGGCACCTGAAACATTCAATGTTGTTCGAAAAAAGCTTGTAGCCACATTGGTTGTTGCACCAACAGTTGCAGTAACAACAAAAAAAGCTACTGAACAAGTACCAGGTGTCGGGAAACTGGTGCAGAGGTTGCCCAAAGTAGTTTATGCTGCCCTTATAACAATGGCAGCTGTGTGGTTCCAAGAGACCAATAAGGATTCTGCACTCTAGTCATTCATTGCTCACATTTGTGTTTCACAGGAAGATACAACTCTCTTCATTGTTCTACACAATGGATTCACACTCATTCATTGTTTATGAAGTGGCAGTTCAGAAAAAAAAGAAAATCAATGATTCCTTTTGGCATTTTGGACAAAAGTCCAAATATTGATTTTTATGTCAAAGGTGAAGTGTCTTTAATAAAATTCAAAATTATTTTCTTTCCTTTACTTACATCTTCATATTGCATCTTAATATAACTCAATATTATAAATGTAAAAGTTATACCTTATTTGTATATTATAATTTAATCATATGTTGATGGGTCTTTTAAGAAAATTTATCAAGAAAATTTACTGATAACAGGATCTAAGTTAAACTCATATTACATTTAACCCAAAACCTTAAAAATAATGGATTTATAAGTCTTTTAATTATAAGTATTCAATTTTTTCATCTTTACATGATACTTAAACTATGCTTTCATTTTCCAACAACTATTTCATAACTTAATATATTATACTATTCTTTTAGCATTGTGGGAATAACATGGATTAGAAGCTCTTTGAGCATATCTATCAATGGAGGAACATCATACGTGTCCAAACAATATTCATTGGCATGTGATGCTCATGAAAATTCCTATTAAGGGTAATTGGTAAGTTTGGCACATGATTCTAATTTTCCTTTATACAATGCCCATTTTACACTTAATTATTTGGAATTTTCTTTGTAAGAAAAGAGAAGTAGATTATCATATTCTCCATTTTGTTGTCTTGCTTCACACATCCCTCAATGTTTGTTGTTACACCTCTCATTTAGTCAATCCATAGGGCCTCTTTGACACAGGGTCCAAAAGTTCATGTATAAAAAAGATTACAGAAGATCAAATTTATAAAACCAAAATGCTCACAAAAATCATATGAGTAAGGGTTAATTCATGGGCAAATTTTTTAGACCACAAAATATTTTTTAAAAATGAAAATTCAAAATAAAAAGTTAATTAAAAATATTGATATACGTAAAAAATATTAGTTTACTCCTAACTTTGACTATTCTATGGTTTAAATTGTTAACACAATCTACTTAAAATTAATTATCTTAAAATTTAACCCCTTTAATAATTATAATCATGAATTATTAAATTTATATATTAATATTTTTTTAATTATTGTGTATACTATGTTTATAATTAAATAAAAAAAATTTACGTAAATATTGTACGCGATATTTTATAAAAGAAACGCATGCAAAACTAATGATATAAACTTAGATATAAAACAGAAAATTATAGTTTAGTTCAAAACCAAAAAAAGAAATTCTAATAAATTCATAAATTAATTAATTAGTTAAAATAAAAATTTAAAATTTTGGTTGTGCTTTACTTTTTATTCTTTAATGTATTTTTATTGAAATTTTATTTAATGTTATAGTGGATCAAACCCACTTAGATTTTACCATAACTCACTTTATGTGGAAAAACAGAAAGTTCGGACTTTTTCAATTTACTCATTAACTAAATGAATAAAAGGAAACTTATTTTAGGTAATTGACTTTTTGTTCATATTGCTTGATTATGACATTTTTTAGGTGCGGAATAAGAAGTATTGAAAAAATTACTTATAATTGTGTGTTGTATCTAGTACTAAGAAATATTTGATAAGATATCATATTGGATCTCTTTATATTCAAATTATATTTTTAACATGATGAAATCATATTTTTAACATTTTCTTAAATTGGAGAATATATATCATATGATACAAATTTCTTACGAATGTCATTAAACACAATCAAGTAATTCAAAGTTAATAAGTAAGTAAAGACAAAATATTTTTATATATTTAATATTCTTTTTTAGTTGAAATATAGTTTGAAGTGTAAAACTTGATATAAATAAGTTATAAAAGTGTCTAACTACATCTTAAGTACCCTAAACAATATAAAACTGTCTAACTATAATAGCTTCTAATGAATGTTCAATCATCTAAGACAAGCCTTAAACAGTATAAGGATTTATAACATAATGTTTATTATGAATAACATCTAAGGAAAACTTAGATTAAAGCTAAACAATATAATTTAAAAGGTCTCACATAATGTTACTCAAACATATTACACTAAACGATAGTACTCGAGTGCTCATAATCATTTAACGCTTTTATAGTACTTTTTGTTTGTTGTATTGTGCTTTTGTTTTCTATGCAGTTTTCAATGACGGTTTCCTTCATGCTTTTTACCTCTCCGTTTCCTACACACAACATAGTCGTTCTACTAAGAGTAACATAGCTTCTAACTCTATCTTAAAGACTATACCTCTAAAAGAAACTCAAAAGTTCTAAGTAAATCCTTTTCGAAAATACTTACATGAAGAGGATTGCATGAAGTGGTTATACCCATCTAACCAATGGGTTAGTTAAACAACATAAGTGGTTAAAGTAACTCATGTGCCTTTTTTTCAATTGTTTTTCAAAAGTTTTCCATTAAAAACTATTTTAGAAATTTAAGTGTTTCTAACACCTGCAAAAAAAAATTAAACACTAATTTGCAAAAAAGAAAATTAAAACTTTATTCAAATTAGTAAGGAAAGAGGGCATGAAGAGGAGTGGCATTGAAATTAGCAAGGAGACTCTTCTACAAATGTCAGTAAAGGACGCCCAACCCCATAGCTACAGGGGAGGCCGCACCCAGCGATAGGATGATGTCGCCCCGTGAGGATGCTGTTAGGGGCCACCCATGTGCTTCTTCCAGGAGTGGCGCTCTGTGTCAACAATGTTATGAGCGTGATCGTTGCCCAGGAGACCCACACATGTTATTTTGCATTTTCTTTGATTAAATGTTATAATTAGGAGTTAATACATGTTTAGTTTAACCTAATTCATAGGACAGCTTACCCTCACTTATGTGTTTCCATGTGTTCGGTGCTTAATTTTTAATGTTTACGGGTCATAGTAAGTAGCTCATATAGGCTTTTCGGCTTCATACACCGTTTGTCTTTTCTTTTTTTTTCAATTCAATGGAATTCAGCTTTATGTTTCTGCAAGTTTTATTTGCTTGTCTTGTTTTGTCAAAATCCTAAATCTTGTTTTGTCAATAAATTGTGTTTTTCCTAACCTGGTTTTCTGTGTGCATCGTTACTTACCTTTATGGTGCTTGTCTGATGCAGTTTTGTTTGACATGTTTGGGGCTGCTGGCTAGACTAACTTTTGAGGTGTTGAAAGGCTATTATGAGTTGGCACTGCAAGTAAAATACCCCACTTTGAATCAACTGCTAGCTGGTGTCAAATTGGTTGCATGATTGAGTGTCCAAAGTTGGATGCTACAAGTGATTTGGTTCATCTAGAGTCAGCTGCAACATGAAGAGGTCTGATGTGTTATAGACGTAAATTTCATCATCTTTTGTAAAGTTGAGTTAAACTTAAAATTCACTTTTAATCTCGTTAAACAGATGGAGAAACAAATATTGATTTGAAGCGATTTGGTGCCAGGTTTAGTAGGTTGCAGCAACAACTATCCCATCTTTGACTAACTCGGTGTTTGGCTTCAACAAGCTTTTGGTGTGCAAAGTTGGTGGAGAATTGAAGCTGAAGGTGGTTGTTTGGAGTGGTGCACACAGAAAACACTTAAATTGAGATTAAATTATTGTTGCAGGACTTTTGCAATTGTCTAAAAGATTGTTGCGTGCCTCAAGTGACTCTATGTTTTGGTTCGGTGATTGGTTATCTAGCAGTTAGCGCACTCCAAAGGTTTGTGCTGAGAAAATTAGTAGCTTGAGGTGTTGTGGTTGAGACAGTGGAAGAATAGAGATGTGCTCTTGAAACTTTTCAAAGCCTAGAGATTTGTTTGTGCAAAAACAGTTTGGCATCATCAAAAGAGCAATCAGCTCTGTTTAATTTAATACAGTGACAACAATAGTATATCTAGTTTTGTTATAACAACTGCCAAGCTTGAAGAGGTGCCAAGTGGAGCAAACTGGGAACCTTCATGTATATTAAAATTCTGATGCACAGGAACTTGCCATTGGTCCAATATAGCACACAAAATTGGTTGTGTGTCTTGATAAGAATTATTGGCAGAGTTAAATTACCATTTGATTATGATATAGATACGTAGTATTTTAAATTTTTTTTTCATGATCACAATATTTTGATTAAATCACTGATATTTTAGTTAAATTAGAGTTAAAGTCTAGTGGTATCAGGTTGGTATATACAATTTTAACGGTGTACAAGACTTTTTATGTTATTTATAAATTAAATTAATTACTGTAGAGTCATTTTCAACAAACTAATACAGACCGAAATTAATTCTGATAACCGACAAATAGAAATATTGTAATCATTAAAATAATCAAATTTACTTATTTTTGTTTCTTAAATATATTTTACTGCTTGTTTAATCGCAGATCAAACCAAATCATTTTGAATTCATAATTTCTAAAACTGAAACTAATTTGATTAATTTTGTTTTCTAAATGTGAAACGAAGATTAAATAAATTTTTGTTAAGTTATGAATGTCCGATATGGGACACGATGTGAAATAAATAACTAATCTTTCTGCTCGTCGCGACATTCGACGTGGATAACAACTTTACCTTAGAAATGATCTCACATTACCCAGTTCATCGATTTTCCCGCCTCACACTCTATGCTTCTCTCTAAATATCCTGGCTTTTGGGAAGAATCTGAAACAATTCACATTCTATTCTACGAATTTCAATGGCAGAAGTGAGGAACAAGCAAGTGGTTCTAAGGGACTATGTGGTTGGTTTTCCCAAGGAATCCGACATGAACACGGTCGAAGGAAGAATAACATTGAAGGTTCCAGAAGGTTCCAATGATGTGCTTCTCAAAAATCTCTACCTCTCTTGTGACCCTTACATGAGAGTCTTGATGAGCAAGATGGGCCATGAGGGATTTGGGTGCTACATACCTGGCTCTGTAAGTCCTGCAACTTTTTTGGCTTAATTTTGTGAAAATTAATCCATATTGCTATTTGATATTGGAATATCATTCTGGTTTTTCTTGTCAGTGTTGAATATTTGATGAAATCATAATAGAGAGACCTAATTGGGAAATTGGAATGAAAATATACATCTAACTCAAATCTAACTTGTAGAGATTTTCTTATATTTAATTTGATTGAGTGAAAATGTAAGTAAGCATTATTTTGGTTTTGAATGAATAGTTCAGTGAGAAGTATGAATGTATAGGTTCTGGTGTAAAGAAGCAAAGCTTGATTAGATAAACTTCTTGATAAATATTATAAAAAAAATAAAACGATAGAGAAATGAAATAATATTTTTGGTTAGGGTTCTGGTATAACCAATAAATCCAAATTACTTAGAAGTTGAGCTAAGTAAATACACTCTTTTCCTTCAGAGATGTTTTTTAAGCAGTTCCAAACTCTAATGTGGACAATACATCATTGAATGTGGCGGCAGACACTAAGAAATATTATTTCAACGAGTGAAAATATTTAGAATCTAAATTGAACTTCCTTTGTAGATATTGTTGTCTTTTATTAATTTTTTCTAAATCCCTAGGTAGTTTTGAAAATACAATTTTTAGTCAGGATATTATGATGGCACTAACAGTTATGTAAATGCAGCCAATAGCAGGGTTGGGAGTGTCAAAAGTCCTAGAATCTGGACACCCAGATTACAAGAAAGGTGATTTAGTTTGGGGAATGACGAAATGGGAAGAATTCAGCTTGGTGCCTGCAACTCAAATAGATTTCAAAATTGAGCACACAGATGTCCCTCTTTCATATTATACTGGTATTCTTGGTATGTATATATTCGACAAACACAATTGTTCATTCTCATTCAACCATATATGCTACTCATGTCACTTTGATGTGCAAGCCTCAATTTATATTGTTAGTATTCGTTTCTCTGTTTTTTATTTGAGTTTCTTAGAGTATATTATGTTTTTTCTCGATGAATCATAGCAAGCATGGCAGCTTATGGATGGATGTTGTATTGGCTTCTCACATTCTGGTTTCTTCTTTGAGCACAGGTATGCCAGGACTGACAGCTTATGTAGGTTTCTTTGAAGTGGGCTCTCCCAAGAAAGGGGAGAATGTTTTTATTTCAGCTGCTTCTGGTGCTGTTGGTCAACTTGTTGGTCAGTTTGCTAAATTGACTGGTTGCTATGTGGTTGGAAGTGCTGGAAGCAAAGAGAAGGTATTCATTGAATTATTATTATTTAATATGTCTATGTCTGTCTGTTTTAAAAGTTTCACATTAACTAGAGATAAAGAAAATTTATAGTATATAAATAAGTATAAACCTCATTTTTCAAATTGGTTTTATAAGATTAAGTTAAGTTTAAAGTTTAATTTTTAATGTGGTATCAAAGCCATTTACAATATCTATTAGAGATTATAAAATTATAATATATAAGTGGATCCAGACCTATAAGTCGGTTTTATAGAGTTCAGTTTTGGAATAGATTAAATAGATAAGTTGTTTCCTATTTCCGAGATTAGATACTAGTATGTTACCTGTAAGTTACTTGTCAGTGAAAACTTCATGTTGCATAGTTTTGGCATTTTCCAAGATGTAGAATTAAAATATGTTGAAGATTTTTGTTTTCATGAAAGGTATCAAACAATAACCCTTTTTCAAATATCAGAAGTTGCACTTAATAATGTTTTCTATACTTCAATAAAACTGCATCAATGTTGGTTCTTTGCTGAAGTTTGCTTACAAAAGTATCATGTTATGTATCCAATCTGCTTTACTTCAATTTTTTTTAAGAGAATTATGGCATACACCAGCAATAGTAGTCTGATAAAGAGGTCCTGAAATGAAATCCTTTGAATTTTATATATTTTTTTTGCTCACCGACTAAATTATATTGTTCTCCTCTCATTTGAACTGTATTTTACAACCAGGTGGATCTTTTGAAGAATAAACTTGGATTTGATGGAGCTTTTAACTACAAAGAAGAGTCAGAACTCGATGCAACTTTGAAAAGGTTAGAATTCAACAAATTTGTGAAAGTGAAAATTTGAGTGAATCTGTGCATTCAACAAATGTTAATGATTGCTGCATATCAATGGACAAATCAGATACTTTCCAGAAGGCATTGATATTTACTTTGAGAATGTTGGAGGCAAGACACTTGATGCAGTACTCCTTAACATGAAATTCCATGGTCGCATACCTGTTTGTGGAATGATCTCACAGTACAATCTTTCTCAACATGAAGGTGTAACAAATTTGGTACATCTCATATTTAAGAGGATTAAAATGGAAGGGTTTGTTGTAAATGATTTCTACCATTCATATTCCAAATTCTTGGAGTTTGTTTTGCCTCATATTAGAGAAGGGAAGGTTGTGTATGTGGAAGACATTGCTGAGGGTCTTGAAAATGGCCCTGCAGCCTTGGTTGGTCTCTACACTGGTCGGAATGTTGGTAAGCAAGTGGTTGTTGTTGCTCGTGACTGAATGCAGATGTTTTTTTTGGACATTGCTGAGTTTTTCTTAAGTTTTGATGAATACTAAGCCTCTTTGTATCTGAATTTTTCTTAAGTTCTGTTGAATATTAAGCCTCTTTGTATGACTTTTGCAGTCATTTTGAATTGTTGTATCTATGATAGCAGTTAGTAAATGTGTGTTGAAATGTAAATTTCTCAATTGATATAATTCTCCAGCTAGTTAGTTGAGACTTCACAGTATCTAATATTAAGAATATAAAACTCGTTTATAATTAATTTTAGCAATAAAAAGTTACACTAAGTTGAAAAGGTAGAATTGCCATGATGAAGATATTATTTGCATAATGTTATGTTAGGAATCTGAGAATAAAATCTTAACCGTCTCCCTCCCTCACTGATACGCACTCACCCCAGACCAAAAGAATCAAACAATGAAAACAACGTGTAAGTCGAGGGCCTAACCCCTCTTACCGGGTTCGAAAATCGGTCTATACAAAGTATATAATTCTCTAACTAATCACAATGTAATGCGTTATTCCTTTTATACCTATACTTCCTCCTTTAGCAGTTAGAAATTCTTCTACTCTCTTTTCTTTCTTCTCTCATACTTTCCAACCCCTAACATGTTATCTCAGTATGATGCTGATTAATAATCATTCATGTTGATTATTCTGAGCAACCCTTAGAATATTTTTAGATCACGGAAATTCTCAGATCACTTGATCATCAGACGATCTGATAGTATCATATTCGTGTTTTTTGTTTCTCTTTCTCTCCTTTTATATATTTGGCTGTTGTGGCAATTCTATATACATTTTCTACACATCAACAATAAGATTTCTTGTTTTGCTTCTCTTATATGTTTTCTGCTTCTTTTTTCTTTCTTTTTGTTTCTTTGTTAGATATTGAATATAATCTAGGACTTCTTTTTTTCTTCATTCCATCAAACCATCTTATTTCAACTACTGTTGAAAAATTATTATTACTGCAAACTGTAGTAATTGGATGCTCCACTGTTTTTCTGCACTATTTCATTATGAATAAAGATTGCATACTGATAATTCCAAAAATCATGTATGATAATTACTTTTGGGAATCATAGTAAATGCATAAATCTGTACAAAGGCATATAAGGAGAAAAAAAGATGATATATATATATATATATATATATGTATGTATGTATTA